AGTCTCTATATTGAATTTAATTTACGATATACGTAATAATTGCTTTGTGTCGAGTTTTTGTGTTAAAGAATTGGAGATTGTGCTGTGTCTCAGTTCTCATACAGAAATGCATTTACGTCTAATGAAATACATTGGACGTGAAGTAGAGGATTCAGTGAACTAATTTTATATGCAAATGGACCGAAGAAATAAATGCTGACATTATACACAAGATACGTGTACAACTTTGAGTGTAAGTATGTATGGTCCTGCATTAAATGTTGGAATTATTTATATGTGTGCAGACAGCATTGAATTGGTGTGATGTCCAGAATATAACAGTTTCTTTGCGAGATCGTATACGGGCATAAATTAAATCGATGCGTTGTGTAATACGTCAGAAATATTTTTGCTTTGCAGAGATAACGACCTTTAACAAGCAGATTATAGCGTTGAAATTGTGTCACTAATACGGTTGTTTACACTATGACATTACGTATTTATCCAAAATTTCTTGATTTCAACAATATTAATAGAGACTTTAAGCACATGTGTAGTTGCACTGCAAATGTGTCCTTGCTTTGATTTCTTCCTGCTAAGTTGGTCACCCTAGGAGAAGTGTTTGTGAATGTGTTGTTGATTAATTCATGTCTGGCGTGTTTGAACTTTTTATTATATTAAAGTGGAAACTTACGTTTATGCAGCGTTGTTTAGGATCTAACATTTGAATTTTATTATTCGGAAGTTCGGTTCACTTTAATGAAGGATGTTTCCTATAAAGATAACCCCTTCGACTCAGGATTAGCTTCCGTTTCTATGCACTTTAATTTTATTATGAGTACTGATGTGTGCCTGGTTAGTGTACGTATGCATTTTAGACTTGATTAGAATTTACACAAATTGTATTAATAGGTTACCGTAAATAAGGCTGCTTGTGGTTGTTAAACTAAGCTTGTGTGCTTGTTCGTGTGTGGTTACTTTGCTTAATTTATAATGTTCTTTCTTGTTGATAATTACAGTTAATTGAAATCTTACAGGAAGAGAGTTTTAATATTTTTTCATTAGACTTTTCGACCGATAAGGAATGTTACGTTATCGAGTCACAAAAAAGAGTGATTTTTTATGCATTATAATTAGATTTTGTGACTGCATTTACGAATACAAACTTTTTCACCCTTTTATATAGTGCATGGTTCTAATAGTCTTTCTATTTTGATATGAAAAGATTTTCATTCACGTTAAAAGCGTGCGTTTGCTCGGGGTTGTAGGTCGATTTTTTTTATACAAATTAAACTTTGCTGCTATTTTCAACCGTCTAGATATATATGTGCATGCAAACTGTACTTTTAGCCTTACAGCTATAGAATGTTTTAACCTTCGGAAACGCCGCAAAACTTACTCTTCTGTCATTATATTTGGGTTTTTTTTGTGTAAAATCGTCGGCAAAAGTTAATAAAACGTCAATAACTTCAGAGTACTTTTTTTTCCTCTGCTCTCGTAAGAAATGAGGTAATGAGGCGTATAAAGCGCGTTATTCACCGGGTTACCCCCGGACCTTTTGCTGAAACGTTTCATTGTGTCAACGTCCGTCCCTCCCTTCCCCCCGTTCCGCAATTCTATACCATTCGACGTGACCCATGGTTTGTATTAATGGTTTTATACATCGGGTTATACTGCTTCGCAGAAAAGTTGTGTTAACTGTCGTATAAATAGAATTATGTGTATGTTCTAAGCGCACTTTGTAAAATTATTATAATTCGGATATTTGTTTATTTTATACAAAAACAGAGTAAGCTGTGTGACATCTACGTGATTTCTGGTAGTGCTCTGGAAATATTCAGGGACTTTGTAATGCCACACGAATCGTCGAGTGTCAGTGTTTAGAATTATTACGAAACCAATTCCACCCTTTGAACGAGATAAACCCTTAAGAACGCCGATGTTCTCTAATGTTGACGATGCACTGAAATTGCCTCCTTCCTACTCTTTTGACAATTCTGTTCTTGTGGGTTTGTTTGCTTTCCAAGGGAGTGTAACAAAAGTGAGTTGTTTTCTTTATTTTCTTGAATAATTCATTGTGATCCAATGAAAAATAAGTTTTATATTTTCATTTGTTTAACCAATACCTTTTTTCTAAATGCACGGATATTTATGTTAAATTATATTATCCGACAAGTTTTCGCATTTAAACTCCTTACCAAAAGACATTTGTTATGAAACTTGGCTATAAATGAAACAGAGATTGGTGACATTTTTAGTGTTTCACACTTTTCTACAGAATATATGTTTGCAGGGCGTGTATACATAATATTAAGTGATCTTTGGATGTACTGTCAACTATTTTTTGCTGATGACGGACAACACCTGTAGGTCAGTGCTGTCCATGCCAGCTAACCACGTGGTACAAGTGTTCCATGAGCTTATTTTAGAAGCGAAGGATAAGGACGATTATTATTAAAACTTTTCAAATAACCGGATATTTTCGAGTCCGTAGTAACGAGGCAGTATCAGGCTACACTGACTTATGTTTTACAACTTTTCCTCTGTCCTCAAAACCGAATGCCTACATGGTACCTCAAATTACACCAGGACCTGTTCCTTTCAACTCTTTTCCAATTAATTATTTACTACGTATTATATCATTCATCATTTTTCTTGAAAGGATTATTAGCTGAATCATAAGAATAGTAAGAAATTAAAATTGC